CCACTATACACGTCTGAGCAGCCCACTATGCACGTCTGAGCACCACTATACACGTCTCCAGCACCACTATACACGTCAGCACCACGTCTCAGCACCACTATACGTCTCAGCACCACTATACACGTCTGAGCACCACTATACACGTCTCAGCACCACTATACGTCTCAGCACCACTATACACGTCTGGCACCATAGTCATCTCAGCACCACTATACACGTCTCAGCACCACTATACACGTCTCGCACCATACACGTCTCAGCACCACTATACACGTCTCAGCACCACTATACACGTCTCAGCACCACCTTAGCACCACTACACGTCTCAGCACCACTATACGTCTCAGCACCACTATACACTTCCAGCACCACTATACACGTCTCAGCACCACTATACAGCACACTATACGTCTCAGCACCACTATACACGTCTCAGCACCACTATACGTCTCAGCACCACTATACACGTCTCAGCACCACTATACACGTCTCAGCACCACTATACACGTCTCTGCACCACTAATCTCAGCACCATACACGTCTCAGCACCACTATACGTCTCAGCACCACTCTATACGTCTCAGCACCACATAGCACCACTATACAGCACCACTATACACGTCACACCACTATACACCACTATACACGTCTAGCACCACTATACACGTCTGAGCACCACTATACACGTCTCAGCACCACTATACACGTCTGAGCACCACTATACACGTCTCCAGCACCACTATACACGTCTCAGCACCACTATACATGTCTGAGCACCACTATACACGTCTGAGCACCACTATACACGTCTCAGCACCACTATACACTATACACGTCTCAGCACCACTATACGTCTGAGCACCACTATACACGTCTCCACTATACGTCTCAGCACCACTATACACGTCTCAGCACCACTATACACGTCTCAGCACCACATACACACCATACACGTCTCAGCACCACTATACACGTCTCAGCACCACTATACACGTCTGAGCACCACTATACACGTAGCACCACTATACACGTCTGAGCACCACTATACACGTCTCAGCACCACTATACACGTCTGAGCACCACTATACACGTCTATACACGTCTCCCACCACTATACACGTCTCAGTAGTCAGCACCACTCTACACGTCTCTCTAGTCACCCACTATACACGGCACCACTCAGTCTCAGCACACACGTCTCAGCACCACTACACGTCTCAGCACCACTATACACGTCTCAGCACCACTACGTAGCACGTCTCAGCACCACTATACACGTCTCAGCACCACTATACGTCTCAGCACCACTATACACGTCTCAGCACCACTCACGTTCAGCACCACTATACACGTCTCAGCACGTCTCTCAGCACCACTATACACGTCTCACCACTATACGTACATACACGTCTCAGCACCATTATACAAGTCCAGCACCATTATACATATCCCAGATCTCCAGTAGCCCTGAGAGTTAATGTGTGGGAATGAACATGAAAGTCGTGTGTGTGTGTGTGTGTGTGTGTGTGTGTGTGTGTGTCAAAATACATACTGTACACACATACTTAATGATAGTGGTAATAATAATAATGAATATACCACTACTACCACTACCACCACCACCACTACCACCACCACTATCACCACTGCCACTACCACCACTACTACCACCACCACTACCACCACTGCCACTACCACCACCACCACCACCACTACCAGACAGACTGACAGGAAATAACTATTAACTGTCGGAGTTGATAGATGAATGAGAGTTGTGTGGTTAGGTTAGGTTGAGAGTCTGTTTATTATTATTATTATTATTATTATTATTATTATTATTATTATTATTATTATTATTATTATTATTATTGTTATTGTTGTTGTTGTTGTTGTTGTTGTTGTTGTTGTTGTTGTTCCTTTACTCACTCCTTCTCTTCCTCTGTCCTTACTCACTTAACACTAACCTTCACAGCTCACAGGGGATATATTATACAGCTTCTTTGTCTGTAGTGAAGTTTGTCTCAGTCGTTATATAGTTAAGGTGACCTTGTGAGTAGGGGTTAGGAGGCAGTGTGTGTTTGTCTGTTGTAATTATCATAACTAACAACCTAACCTAACCCAACACTAACCTAACCCAACACTAACCTAACCCAACACTAACCTAACCCAACACTAACCTAACCCAACACTAACCTAACCCAACACTAACCTAACCCAACACTAACCTAACCCAACACTAACCTAACCCAACACTAACTCCAACCCAACACTAACCTAACCCAACACTAACCTAACCTAACACTAACCCAACCCAACATTAACCCAACCCAACACTAACCCAACCCAACATCAACCCAACCCAACACTCTGCTAACCTAACCCAACACTAACCTAACCCAACACTAACCCAACCCAACACATCCCAACCTCCCACCAAACCTAACCCAACACTAACCTTAACCCAACACTAACCTAACCCAACACTAACCCAACCCAACACTAACCTAACCCAACACTCCTAACCCAACCCAACACCAACCCAACCCAACACTAACCCAACTCCAACACTCAACCCAACCAACACTCAACTCCAACCCAACACCAACTCCAACTCCAACACTAACCCAACTCAACACTAACCCAACCCAACACCAACCCAACCCAACACTAACCCAACCCAACACCAACCCAATCTCAACACTAACCCAATCCCAACACCCAACCCAACTCCAACACTAACCCAACCACCAACTCCAATCCAACACTAACCTAACCCAACACTCAACCCACCTCACTAACTCCCAATTCCACACCACCACACCCACTCATCCCAACACTAACCCTAAACTAATTTAACACATTCTAACTCCATCCACCATAACCCGACCCAACCCTAAACAGCAAGGGTTCCAGCAACAATCACCATCCCTTACGGAACACCACAATCTATTACGACAAATTCAGTAACAATTTTCAAGTTACTTCCGGCGCTGCTTAGAACCACTACGTAACAAGGAACACTTCAGGAACTTCCGTTAGCATGGTTCACGGTGCGCTATTGTTCTCAAGATTCATCATCCTATAAAGGGTGTTAGTGTGTGTTAGTGTTAGTTAGGTTAGTTATGTGTGTTGTGTTAGTGTTGTGTTATGTTAAGTTACTGTTGTGTTAGTGTTAGCAGTGTAGTTGTGTTGGTGTTGTGTAGGTTACAGCCCATGAGCCATACATCATCCTTGGTAATGTGAACTTGGGGAACTCTACTACTGCCTACCACACTGTACCACACTATACTACACTGCTCTACAGTACACTATACTACCTTTCCCACACCACACCACACTGTCTTCCTAACTACCACACTATACCACACTGCGCTACACCACATTACACCACACTGCACTTCACCACATCACAACACCACACTGCACTACACCAATACACTACACACTGCACCACAACCACATCACACTACACCACACTGCACTACACCACATCACACTACACCACACTATACCACACTACACTACACCACACCGTAATATATAGCAGTATAGCCTCCCTTGGCGCCACACTGTCGGTAGCTTCGCCAGGCGTACACAGTCTGCCCAGTCTGGCGTATTACCGGGATTACTGTATCTGGTTTGTCCTTTTGCTCTTGTAGTGAGTGTTGTAGGTTGTGACTGGTTGTGACTGGTTGTAGTTGGTTGTGGTTGGTTGTGACTGGTTGTGTTGGTTGTGACTGGTTGTGGTTGGTTGTGACTGGTTGTGGTTGGTTGTGGTTGGTTGTGACTGGTTGTGACTGGTTGTAGTTGGTTGTGGTTGGTTGTGACTGGTTGTGGTTGGTTGTGACTGGTTGTGGTTGGTTGTGGTTGGTTGTGATTGGTTGTGGTGGTTGTGGTGGTTGTGACTGGCTGTTGGTTGTGACTGGTTGTGGTTGATTGTACTGGTTGTGGTTGGTTGTGACTGGTTGTGGTTGGTTGTGACTGGTTGTGACTGGTTGTGATTGGTTGTGACTGGTTGTGGTTGGTTGTGACTGGTTGTGGTTGGTTGTGACTGGTTGTGGTTGGTTGTGACTGGTTGTGGTTGGTTGTGGTTGGTTGTGACTGGTTGTGGCTGGTTGTGGTTGGTTGTGACTGGTTGTGGCTGGTTGTGCTGGTTGTGACTGGCTGTGGTTGGTTGTGACTGGTTGTGGTTGGCTGTGACTGGCTGTGGCTGGGTGACTGGTTGTGCTGTTGTGACTGGTGTGGTTGTGACTGGTGCTGTGGTTGGTTGTGCTGGTGTGACTGGCTGTGGCTGGTTGTGACTGGTTGTGGTTGGTTGTGACTGGCTGTGGTTGGTTGCTGGGGCTGGTTGTGACTGGTTGTGGTTGGTTGTGCTGGTTGTGACTGGCTGTGGTTGGTGGTTGGTTGTGACTGGGTGTGGTTGGTTGGACTGGGGTGTTGTGGTTGGTTGTGACTGGTTGTGTTGGTTGTGACTGTCAGGTTGGCTGTGACTGGTTGTGGCTGGTTGTGGCTGGTTGTGACTGGTTGTGGTTGGTTGTGACTGGCTGTGGCTTGGTTGTGGTGTGGTTGTGACTGGTTGTGGTTGGTTGTGACTGGTTGTGGTTGGTTGTGACTGGTTGTGACTGGTTGTGGTTGGTTGTGACTGGTTGTGGTTAATACTTGTAGACGCAGTGTGTGTGTGTGTGTGTGTGTGTGTGTGTGGTGTGTGAGACATCAATGGTAATAGCAGGTATGGATCAACAGGTTTGGTGATAATGGGTGTAGGAGTATTTACAGGTGTATATATCTTGACAGGTGTGGCAGGTTATAGTAGTATTAATATAGGGTACTTAACAGTGTATTTCTTTGACAGGTGGGGCAGGTGCAGTAGTATACAGGTGTGTATATCTTAACAGGTGTGTTTCATGACATGGGGGCAGGTAGTAGTATTAACAGGTGTGTATTTCTTGACAGGTGTGGGGGCAGGTTGTTGTAGTATTAACAGGTGCATTTCTTGACAGGTGTGGGGGCAGGTGTGCAGCATGGTGGAGGAGGAGGGAGGGGGTCTGCTCCACCCTCCCCCCAACTCTCTACCCCTCGCCTGGGTGAAACAACACCAACCAAATTTGTAAGTAACCAAATAATTTACCTTTTATCTCTGGAGCAAACCCACGGTCTTCTAGGTCTTTATTATCCTGGGGCTTTCAGGCTTATTATCTCTGGGGGTCTTTCTAGGGTCTTATTATCTCTTCATTTCTGGGGTCTTCTAGGTCTTATTATCTCTGGGGGTCTTTCTAGGTCTTTATTATCTCTGGGGGTCTTTAGGTCTAATCTCTGTTTCCTCTCTAGGCTTATTATCCTGGGGGTCTTTCTAGGGTCTTTATTATCTCTGGGGGTCTTTCTAGGTCTTTATTATCCTTGGGGGTCTTTCTAGGTCTTTATTATCTCTGGGGGTCTTTCTAGGGTCTTTATTATCTCTGGGGTCTTTCTAGGTCTTTATTATCTCTGGGGCTCTTTCTAGGTCTCTTTAACTAGTATCCGGGGCTGGCTTATTATCTCTGGGGTCTTTCTAGGGTCTTTTTATCTCTCTGGGGGGTCTTTCTAGGGTCTTTATTATCTCTGGGGTCTTTCTAGGTCTTTAATCTCTGGGGGTCTTTTGGTCTTTATTATCTCTGGGGGTCTTTAGGGTCTTTATTATCTCTGGGGTCTTTTTAGGGTCTTTTATTATCCTGGGGTCTTTCTAGGTCTTTATTATCTCTGGGGGTCTTTCAGGTCTTTATTATCTGGGGTCTTCAGGTCTTTATTATCTGGGGGTCTTTCGGTCTTTATTATCTCTGGGGGTCTTTCTAGGGTCTTTATTATCTCTTAGGTCTTTCTAGGTCTTTATTATCTCTGGCCACGGGTCTTCGGTCTTTATTATCTCTGGGGTCTTTCAGGTCTTTTTATCTCTGGGGGTCTTTCTAGGGTCTTTATTATCTCTGGGGGTCTTTTTTAGGGTCTTTATTATCTCTGGGGGTCTTTCTAGGTCTTTATTATCTCTGGGGGTCTTTCTAGGGTCTTTATTATCTCTGGGGGTCTTTTCTAGGGTCTGTATTATCTCTCTGGGGGTCTTTCTAGGGTCTTTATTATCTCTGGGGGTCTTTCTAGGGTCTTTATTATCTCTGGGGGTCTTTCCAAGGTCTTTATTATCTCTGGGGGTCTTTCTAGGGTCTTTATTATCTCTGGGGGGTCTTTCAGGTCTTTGTTATCTGGGGTCTCTGTTATTATCTCTGGGGGTCTTTCTAGGGTCTTTATTATCTCTGGGGTCTTTCTAGGGTCTTTATTATCTCTGGGGTCTTTCTAGGGTCTGTATTATCTCTGGGGGTCTTTTAGGGTCTTTGTTATCTCTGGGGGTCTTTCTAGGGTCTTTATTATCTCTGGGGTCTTTCAGGTCTTTTATTATCTCTGGGGTCTTTCTAGGTCTGTATTATCTCTGGGGGTCTTTCTGGGTCTGTATTATCTCTGGGGTGTCTCTAGGGTCTTTTTATCTCTCTGGGGTCTTTCTAGGGTCTTTTTATCTCTGGGGTCTTTCTAGGGTCTTTATTATCTCTGGGGTCTTTCTAGGGTCTTTATTATCTCTGGGGGTCTTTCTAGGGTCTTTATTATCTCTGGGGATCTTTCTAGGGTCTTTATTATCTCTGGGGGTCTTTCTAGGGCCTTTATTATCTCTGGGGGTCTTTCTGGGTCTTTTTATCTCTGGGGGTCTTTCTGGGCCTTTATTATCTCTGGGGTTTCTAGGGTCTTTATTATCTCTGGGGTCTTTCTAGGGTCTTTATTATCTCTGGGGGTCTTTCTAGGGTCTTTATTATCTCTGGGGGTCTTTCTAGGTCTTTATTATCTCCTGGGGGTCTTTCTAGGGTCTTTTTATCTCTGGGGGTCTTTCTAGGGCCTTTATTATCTCTGGGGTCTTTCTAGGGCCTTTATTATCTCTGGGGGTCTTTTAGGATCTTTATTATCTCTGGGGTCTTTCTAGGGTCTTTTTATCTCTGGGGTCTTTCTAGGGTCTTTGTATCTCGGGGGTCTTTCTAGGGTCTTTATTATCTCTGGGGGTCTTTCTAGGGTCTTTTTATCTGGGGGTCTTTCTAGGTCTTTACTATCTCTGGGGTCTTTCTAGGTCTTTATTATCTCTGGGGTCTTTCTAGGGTCTTTATTATCTCTGGGGTCTTTCTAGGGTCTTTATTATCTCTGGGGTCTCTAGGGTCTTTATTATCTCTGGGGGTCTTTCTGGGTCTTTATTATCTCTGGGGGTCTTTTTAGGGTCTTTGTTATCTCTGGGGGTCTTTCTAGGGTCTTTATTATCTCTGGGGGTCTTTCTAGGGTCTTTATTATCTCTGGGGGTCTCTCTAGGTCTTTATTATCTCTGGGGGTCTTTCTAGGTCTTTATTATCTCTGGGGGTCTCTCTAGGGTCTTTATTATCTCTGGGGGTCTTTCTAGGGTCTGTATTATCTCTGGGGTCTCTCTAGGGTCTTTATCTCTGGGGGTCTCTCTAGGGTCTTTATTATCTCTGGGGGTCTCTCTAGGTCTTTCTCTGGGGGTCTTTCTAGGGTCTTTATTATCTCTGGGGTCTTTCTAGGGTCTTTTTATCTCTGGGGTCTTTCTAGGGTCTTTATTATCTCTGGGGGTCTTTCTAGGTCTTTATTATCTCTGGGGGTCTTTCTAGGTCTTTACTATCTCTGGGGGTCTTTCTAGGGTCTTTATCTCTGGGGGTCTTTCTAGGGTCTTTATTATCTCTGGGGGTCTTTCTAGGGTCTTTATTATCTCTGGGGGTCTTTCTAGGGTCTTTATTATCTCTGGGGGTCTTTCTAGGGTCTTTTTATCTCTGGGGGTCTTTTTAGGGTCTTTGTTATCTCTGGGGGTCTTTCTAGGGTCTTTATTATCTCTGGGGGTCTTTCTAGGGTCTTTATTATCTCTGGGGGTCTCTCTAGGTCTTTTTATCTCTGGGGTCTTTCTAGGGTCTTTATTATCTCTGGGGGTCTCTCTAGGGTCTTTATTATCTCTGGGGGTCTTTCTAGGGTCTGTTATTATCTCTGGGGTCTCTCTAGGGTCTTTATTATCTCTGGGGGTCTCTCTAGGGTCTTTATTATCTCTGGGGTCTCTCTAGGGTCTTTATTATCTCTGGGGGTCTTTCTAGGGTCTTTATTATCTCTGGGGGTCTTTCTAGGGTCTTTATTATCTCTGGGGGTCTTTTTAGGGTCTTTTTATCTCTGGGGGTCTTTCTAGGGTCTTTATTATCTCTGGGGGTCTTTCTAGGGCCTTTTTATCTCTGGGGGTCTTTCTAGGATCTTTATTATCTCTGGGGGTCTCTCTAGGGTCTTTATCTCTGGGGGTCTTTCTAGGGTCTTTATTATCTCTGGGGGTCTTTCTAGGGCCTTTATTATCTCTGGGGTCTTTAGGATCTTTTTATCTCTGGGGGTCTTTCTAGGGTCTTTATTATCTCTGGGGGTCTTTCTAGGGTCTTTATTATCTCTGGGGGTCTTTCTAGGATCTTTATTATCTCTGGGGGTCTTTCTAGGATCTTTATTATCTCTGGGGGTCTTTCTAGGGTCTGTATTATCTCTGGGGTCTCTCTAGGTCTTTATTATCTCTGGGGGTCTTTCTAGGGTCTTTATTATCTCTGGGGGTCTCTCTAGGGTCTTTATTATCTCTGGGGGTCTTTCTGGGTCTTTATTATCTCTGGGGGTCTCTCTAGGGTCTTTATTATCTCTGGGGGTCTCTCTAGGGTCTTTATTATCTCTGGGGGTCTTTCTAGGGTCTTTACTATCTCTGGGGGTCTTTCTAGGGTCTTTACTATCTCTGGGGTGGGAAGGTCAGGTGATGTGAGCCGGGGCACAGGTGTTGACCAGTCCTGCCTCGTGGAGTGTAAACAAACCACTCGTTGTACAGTCACCCACGAACCTAATCTAACACTAACACTAACCTAACACTAATCTAACACTAACACTAATCTAACCTAACCTAACCTGACACTAACCCTAACCTAATCTAACCTAACACTAACCTAACACTAATCTAACACTAACACTAATCTAACACTAATCTAACCTAACCTAACCTGACACTAACCCTAACCTAACCTAACCTAACACTAACTAACACTAATCTAACACTAACACTAATCTAACACTAATCTAACCTAACCTAACCTGACACTAACCTAACCTGACACTAACCCTAACCTGACACTAACCTAACGTGACACTAACACTAACTAACCTAACCCAAACATAGACTAAATCCAGGTTGCAATATGAAATTCGTCCGTAATTCCGGGTTAGTTACTATGAGGCAGAGTTGTCGATAAGCTGACCCTCATATTACAGCTAGTGGGATTATTGCTGTAGTTATGGCACCTCCCTCCTGGGCTATTAACCTCCCACCTCTCCCCCCCCTCCTCCTCCCCCCCTTCCTCCCCTCCTCCTTCCCCCTCCTCCTCCTCCTTCCTCCCCCCTCCTCCTCCTCCTCCCCCTCCCTCCCCCTCCTCCTTCCCCTCCTCTCCCTCCTCCTCTCCCTCTCCCCCCCTCCTCCTCCCTCCTCCTCCTCCCCCCCCTCCTCCCCCTCCTCCCCTCCCCCCCCTTCTCCCCCCCTCCTCAACCCCCTCCTACCTTCTTCCTCCCTCCCACTCCCCCCTACAGTGCCATTAACCTCCACACAGTGCCATTAACCTCCCCACAGAGCCATTAACCTCCACACAGTGCCATTAACCTCCACACAGTGCCATTAACCTCCACACAGTGCCATTAACCTCCCCACAGTGCCATTAACCTCCCACAGAGCCATTAACCTCCACACAGTGCCATTAACCTCCACACAGTGCCATTAACCTCCACACGTGCCATTAACCTCCCACAGAGCCATTAACCTCCACACAGTGCCATTAACCTCCACACAGTGTTAACCCCTCACACAGTGCCATTAACCTCCCCACAGTGCCATTAACCTCCCACAGAGCCATTAACCTCCACACCAGTGCTATTAACCTCCACACACGTGCCATTAACCTCCACACAGTGCCATTAACCTCCACACAGTGCCATTAACCTCCCCACAGAGCCATTAACCTCCACGATTAACCTCCACAGGCCATTCCC